CTATTGTTGGCCACTCCAAGATAGCCATGACCTTTGGTGCATCCATCTCGACCCCTTTTTCTCATAAGTGGAATTACTTTCAGTTGATGCCCAACCGCTGGATGCACAAAGCATTGAAGATCTAGCAAAGGTATCGTAGATTATCATTAAAAATGTGGATACAAATCATAATTTCATCAAAATAAGCCACCATAAACTTTGTCAATAAAAGTTTGAAAGACTTGGATCATATGTTGCATGAAGTAATAGCGTGTTGGGGAGAGAGACCAAAAAGCATAACCGTCCATTCATGCAATTTGTCCATCATTTTAAATGTCATCTTTCACTCATCCCCAAGCATTATAAGATTTGGTGATACCCACTCCACATACTAACTTTGGGAAAAATATTTGTAAGAGACATGAAGCTGATCAAAGAGATCAATTATTCATGGGATTGAAAAAAAGGTATATTTGATCAAGATTCTATTCATGACCTAATCATCAATTCACACTCACCACGCATAATCTTTCTTAGGGGCAAGAAAAACAGGGAAGGTATATTGGCCTACACTTTGATCGGACCTTTGACCATTAGTTAGATGATTTGTCATTGCAACTCTTCATATTCCCTACTCCTCATGCGGAATGTAAGGTGACACTGGACGATTTTCTTTAGAATGGGACCAATAGCATATTGTACATTATGCATTTGAGACAATCCCGTGGGTATGTTATAGGGAAATATGTCCTCATAATGCTTCAATAATGATTGGACCTCTTTAAGAGGTTGTTTGACGTCCTGATTCTCTTCTACAACAATGAAAGTATAAACAGCTTGTCTCCTTCAAAGCTTGCATAAACATGAATTTTGATACCACAATTTATTCTAGAAGAATTAATACAATATGTGTGTCATCTTGCTCCAAAAATTGTGTTCTTGTGCCGATCATGGTTCATATAACAAACATATTGCAAGTCTTCACAAAAAGAGAGTAACACCAATCATAATAAAATTGCAACAAACTAGCTTATACAATTTCTTTCCTCAATGAAATAGAACCCCTTCATAAATCCACCGAGAGGAACACAATATTTGTGGTTGTAACAACTATGTATAATAATAATAATATTATTATTATTATTATTATTATAGTAATAACGATAAGTTTTACCTAAAGAGCGGGTCAGTTCAAATAAGAATGAAATGTCTTGACAGTTTCCTTATAAGGAGAAAGTGTCCCTCAAAGCAAAGAAATGAAGCAGACTAGTGAATGAGAACGAAACTAGAGGAGGAGGAGGAGGAGGAGGAGGGGGAGAAAAAAGAACAGCACTCACAAGGGTTTGTCGGGAGGCTTCGTACAAGAGGAATTCAAAGAGCTGGAATAGATGAGCAGCATCGGGAAGGACAATTTTTCCTGTGGTGTGAGGTCGTTTCGTGAAATGGTTTGGCCGAAGTTGAGAAGCTTTATGCGTGAAAAGAGGTTGAACTAAGCAACATGCGCGAGTTGTCTCGTGCGTAGCAGAGAACAAGCTAGGTGTACATTTTGAACGTGTAGGAAGGAGGAGGAGGAGGCAAGTGAACTGAGCGGTTTCTTGCAGGAGCAGGAGGAAACCGAAGCAGAGGAAAGAAGATCATGCCATAACTGAGCCGTGTGAGACACCGAACTAAGCTTAGCGAAAGAAATGTATGTGTTAGAGTTGTTCACTGGAATTTATATATATTTAATTGATATATATATATATATATATACATATATAATGCTAATATGAAGTTATGTTAATTAAGGTCAGATAGTCTAGCAGAAAAATTAGGCTCGGTTATGCGTGTAAGAAAAAAGTGTGGGCAAGTCAGTTGATTCGAATAATTGATTTAGGTACAAATTTAATTATGAGTTATTTTACTTTTAAATGTATTGATAACAAGATGAATTATACTGCCTTAATAATTCATAAATTTATGCCAAATTATGATATTAAAACGAAGTGATAATTTAATTAAATAGGACAACATAAATTATGTTAGGTTGTGGATTGAAATAGACATATATCATATTAAATTTCATAGAATAATATAAATTAAACATTTCAATTATAGATAAAGACAAAACATTTAGTTAATTTATCAATAATAATACTTTCAAATTGATGATAGCTATTCTAACGTAGAAGATATTTCAAAACTTGAAAGCAAATAAAAATCATCTGAAAGGTGAGTACTTATACTTATAGAATATAGTAGCATTTGACCTTTTCTAATTATAATATATTCTGTAAATTGTTCGGACATATTTTATACTACAAAATAAAAATAAAATTGATTTATCTGCTCTTTAAGCTCATAACAAATATTTGTATATGTCCATCAAATGCATAATTCAAGGTATTATATTTTCTACTGAATGTTATGAAAAATAAGAATGGCATTGACTATTTTGATTGTTTATATGTGCATGCTGACTATGATAGAATTCACCCCCTTATGGTACTAAGGGTCCGTTTGGAGTAGCTTATTTGGTGTGCTGGCGTTTTGAAAATGCACCTTGTCTCTTTGGGTAAACTGCGTTTTGGCAGCTTATGCATTTTCAAAATGCCAAAAACAGTGTTTTCACACCGCGGTGGCAACTTTCTGGCAGCGGTCTGACTTTTCCAAAAAAAAAATAAAAATTTATAATAGTCATCGCACCTAACTTATCAGCAGAAGATTTTTAATCAGCTTATCAATAAATTATTCAATAAGCTGCAGCTGGCCCAAACAGGCCCTAAATGAGGAACATTAAAGTACACGTGTGCATATATGGAAAATGATATTATTTATTGTATTAGTGGAGGACGTTAGTGTATCAACACACGTAAATAAAGAAGGTTACTGACATTTATGTACCTTAAATTAAACAATTTTATAAGGTGCACTTGTGTCGAGTGTAAATAACCCGATATAGATATGAAAATGATATAGTATGACAAAATATTTTTTTTGAAATATCTTGATCGATCATGTTCATAAATATCAATTATGAACTTATACTTAAAAATTTAACTAGTATGCATATTATCTTCTTTTTCATTATGTTACTATAATTTATGAGTACGAGCATTTACTGATTTTTATAGCTTAGTGTTATTTTAAACAAATATTTCAGGTTAAAGATATGTTGTAGAAGAGGAAATGTATATAAAAAACCTGAATAACCGAGCTAAGGCAAAAATGTAACTCAATTATTTTACTTTGCCTTCAAAATAGATTTTTATTTTATTTTATTTAGATTATAAATTGTTAATGATAGACAATGAATAACATAAAACTTGATTACACTATTTGATTGTCTATTCTCGCCTAATTCCAAGCTTCAGATTGGATCTAATAGTGGACATCCTACCGGATACAACAAAGAGAATAACATCTTTTAAAAATCGAATATGTCTGACTGTCAAATGACACCTGCTTTTACAGAAATCTAAATGACTTTAAAATAGGCGCATTTGTCATTTATAAATTATTATTTTAATCAGCTAGATAACAAAACATTTTCAAATAATGACATTTAAATAAATATTATAAACTAAACAACCCCTAAGTTCTTATATATCATCTAAATGATTATAATGAAATTTTATATTAATTATGGATCATTTGAAATACAAGAACTGTTACTTGTATTTGAACCGAACGAGGATTGACCAAATATTTTTCTATTACAGTTGGTTTACATCAGGGATCGACTTTAAGCCCATATCTTTTTACCTTAGTTAGGGATAGTTTTATTGGACACTTACAGGAGGATGTACCTTGGTTTATGCTTTTTGCTGATGATATCCTTCTCATGGATAAGGCGAGTGACTCAAAAAAATTTGATTTATGGAGGTCTACTTTGGAGTGTAAAGGGCTCCGTTTGAGTAGAACTAAAATTGAATACATGGAATGTAATTTTAATAGTAGTAGCTCAAGTGACAAAAATGTAGCTATGGGTGATCAAATTACTAAAAGGTGTGAACGCTTCAGAAATCTTGGATTGATATTTAGGTCTATTGTTCAAAGTGATGGTGATATTAATGGGTATGTTATTAGTAGAATTCAAGTTGGTTGGTTGAAGTGGAATGCTTCGGGCCTATTGTGTGATAGAAAAGTACTGTTTAGACTGAAAGGAAAATTTTATAAGATGGTGGTGAGAGCGATAGAGCATCTGAATGTTGGCCTTTAAAAAGAGAAGCATAAAACTAAGTGTTGCCGAGAAGAGAATGATTAGGTGGATGAGTGACTTTACACTTGGAGACAAAATACAAAATAAATGTATCTGTGATAGTTTTGGTGTAGCTCCAGTGATAGACAAAATTAAATAGAGTCATCTTAGATGATTTGGTCACATTAAACGCAGACCATCTGATGATCCGATTAGAAGAGTAGATGTTTTAAATTTGACTTATGTTAAGAAAGACAGAGATAGGCCTTGGATGACTTGGGCATATTTAAAAAAAATGATTTTAATTTATTAGAATTAAATGAAAATAAGACAGTACATAGGACGCAATGGAGTACATAGGCGCAATGGAGCAAAAGGATTCATGTACCCGACCTCACTTAGTCGGATAAAGGTTTTGTTGTTGTTGTTGTTGTATGGATCATTTGAAATGAGATACCCAGAATATAATTGTGCAATGTAACTATTGCACAAATTATGATGCATTTTATCTTTATATATTTTCTAAATTGTGCTCTTTTAACTATAGTTATCCATTTAATTAGTTATCAATAGTTGCATACTAAGTAATAATCAACACTTCAGAGATAATAATTATAAAGTTATTAATATTAATATTATCATATTATCAATCATTTAGACACATACAATCGCCTCTGAAACTCTCTTAAAGTAGCTAAAAGGAATTTAACGCTTTTGATCAATCCACCTAAAATTGCACTAGGTCTCCCTTTATGACAACCATAGCATCAATTTAATATATAATAATACTAAACTAAACATATAATATTTGATAACAATGACATCCAAATAACCATAAAACAAACAAACCATTAATGCTTTCATGAAAAAGTTGAGAATGTTCAAAGTCTGAAAAAATTGAATAAGGATAGACTGTATATCTCATTGCATGCCAAAAGTCTCATCCAAGGGGTCATAAATGTGCCTCTCAGGAAAAAATTCAGCAAAGTCTTGCTTTACTCTATTTCTTAAGAGAGGATGGGGAACAAGGCCCTTCAATAAAATCCTGAAGGCTAACTCTTCCGGTGGATCTGGAGATCTTTTCATGTCCTCATAAATATTCATTGCATCAGCTGGCGAACCATATCTGAGAAATCCCCTGATAACCTCTGCATAAGTCTGTGAATCAGGAAATAATTCCTTTTCTTTCATGCTTGCCCACACTTGCATAGCTTCTTCCATCTTTTGACCCTTCGCCAAGGAAATAATCAAATCCTTGTACAGAAACACGTCTGGCTTAAACCAGTCCTCCTTTTCAATTAACCTGAACATCTGCACACATTCAATATGGTCAGCTTTCTCCACCAGACAATTAACAAACTGAAGCCACACCACAAAATAAATCCATCCTGTATTTGAACTGCACAATAAACTAAATTGCAAGAGATGTGCAAGAACATCTAGCTTCTTAGAAACTATTCTTTAATCATTCAACAACATAAAAACAACAAAGATGTTAAAACAGTGTATTTTCAAGTAATATGAACTGCTAGGACATATTGCAATTTAAGTTAACAAAAAATGTTACAGAAACAGAGACTTATCAAAGGTTTCGGAAATTCAGTCCAATGCTGAATATGTGATTAACTACCAAAAGCATATAACAAGTTGCACGAAAATATCCCTAGAATTGTTACAACTCTGCATTTAAGAAGTGAATTAAATTGTGTTATTGGAACAGTTTTGAACATGCACTAACAACCCAAACACACTACGAATTAAATTGTGTCCACTCAAAATGCTCGTTATGTTACAAAATAATGCATAGATATTACAAACAGTTGGTTGTTAATCTTGATTTTCTAGCTAATAAACAACTGTATGAGCAATTTAGCTGCTGTGTTGCATGCTTTTAATCCTTAATTTAACTTCAAAAAGATAAAAATAAATAAATAAAAGAAAATAATACGCATGCACATCAAATTTTTTATTCTATATTGCTATGGCAAAAACAAAAATAAATTCCCACACGAGTAGATGACCAGGATATTTATCCACTACAGAAAAGGATGCCCTACTTGCATTTTTGACATCTCTTCAGCTGAACTGTACGCTTAATATGTTTCCTTGTGCTTACAAAGAAATGCATGTAATTTAATGGAGTCACGAAAATTTTCTTCTCATTTTCTTTTGATGGTTATTAGAGTAACCTCGGAGAATGGGCACACAACCGAAGGAGAAGATGGAGAGAGAAAGAAATGGTACACAATCCAGAAGAGAGGAAGGAAGAAGGGTTACAAAACTCAAATAGAGAGATAAGAAGCTTGACTATATAATCTTGCAATTCCTCAACATCAACCACATCCATGGATCCTTCGTGCATACCTTTCATTAAGAGATGAGCCATGTGAAAAAGTAACAAAAAAACTAATCAAAAGAGATCTCCATATAAGAAAAGCCTTTTGGTAAGAATCCTCTGAAATAAGAAAGTTAACAATTAAATATAGATCAAGCAAGAAGCCAGTGTTGGATTTTATGATGGGCTGGAGAATGGAATTGGTAAACCTTCTATTAGCAGTGCACAACAACATTTGTATTTGTACCATTTCAACTTACGAACATAGAAAGAAACACATTTAGCAAGAGTTAAAAAGTGGCAGCATGGTGGTAATGGATGTGAAACCAGCTGATTGCCACCGAGGTAAATTGAACGCCTGTGACAAATATTTGGGGTTTTCACCTCTGATCATCACCGTTCATTATAATTGTATTTAATCAATATCTAGCCAAAGAACACATAATTGTATGGTGCTAGTGGTAGTGGCAGCATATGCTACATGGTGAATTATGGAATATCATGTATCTCCATCATGTATCTCCATCACTACATATAGATGAACATAACCAGGTAGTGAGGAGTCCTTGGACTCAACATTAAACTAATACGATCTGATGTCAAATTCGGCACATTTTTTCAAAAAAATTAGTGCAAAATAATATTTTCTCAAATTTGATATGATCCGACATCAAATTCGGCATGCTTTCCATGGAAATTAGGCCAAAATAATATTTTCTTCAATAATCAAAATAACTCAATAAGAATACAAAGATAAACACCTACAATTCAAGAGATAGGCGATCTTTCCCAATCCCCACAATTCGGAAGCTAAGAATTCTCTCCCAAACCCTAACCTAAGACTCACAACTCAATCTCATGCATAAACCTAACCCGAGACATAATAAGCCTATTTATACCTAACAACAACAATAATAAAAAACTAAATTTCCCTTAGGCATACAAAAGACATTAGGCTAGACATCAACATAGCAATAGTCCAAAACTTAGGTGTGAAACTGATATAAAAGTAATGTTATGGATAATATAGTTGTTGTTAGTTTTTAACACTTTTCTCAAGGATAATGTGTTTCCCAAGGTCATTACAAAAATTTTAGCACTCAAAAATACTAGATCCGTGTTCCCTTATGTTATTTAGTAAAAATTAAATCGATATTAGACTTTTTGTATGTAAGATCCTTCTTTGACTGGCTACTAGAGTAGACAATCAATTTCTATATTTTATTTTTAGGGGTATTTTGATTTTTAGTGGAAGAGGATTGATTTCTAGATTTTCAATGGCTTCTTGGGAATTATGAGGAATAGAGATGAGAAAGTTAGGTATATGATTCCAAAATTGAGGTTCGAAGAAAAAAAATTATGTTTTCAATGAAACTCACATCTATGAAATTGCAAAACCCTTTAGTAGCAATTGAGTAGCATTTATAGCCTTTTTGATTGATAGTTTTGGGATGCAATATGCTCCTATATGTGAATGAATGTGAGAATAGGATGAGCATCCAAATACTTTCATGAAAAGATTAGAGATAATTTTGGTATTTAGATAGACTTTCAAGAGGTTGTAGACATATATTTTGAAGTCGAGAATATGATAAAGTGTTATATTTCTCAGATATTTCACCCAAATAATATTTAGGGGGATGTGGAAGCCAATTACTTCCAAGCTATATATGCTTTCATATTAACAACTCTATTGTGTTGAGGGATCTTTTAATATAGGAGCTTTGCTGAATAAACCCGAAGTTGGATAAAAATATTCTCAAGATTATGTGAAAAATTCTTGAGCATTATCAATCTTCAATAATTGACTTTTTGTTTGTAATTGTGTTTGGGTCATTGTATTAAGCTTGACAATAAATTTTCCCAACTTTAAAATTTTATTTCATTAAAAAAAATTGATATTACTATGATGTGTCCATCTATGTAGGAGATGAACCATGTAGATCTAGTGGCATCTTTTTCTCCAGGGGGTCCTCAAAAATTAAAGTATATGAGAGAATAAGGCTGGAATTTTGATGTCGAATATGTTTAGAAAGTTGGTATAGTTCACAAGAGAGATCTTTAGGAATATTATTGGAAATAACTTCCAAAATACATGAAATGAGGACAAATAAATGATAACAATGCAACCAAAATTCATAATTTTTTTGGGTACAATTTTTTACTTGTTTGGAGAATATGATTTTGAAAGATTGAGGATACGAAGAATTATGAAATTTGAAAAGTACAAGTTCTAAACATAGTTTAGTGTTCCAATCATCTTCCTCGAATCTAAATTTTCAGATAAGAATAGGTTGGGTCGAATTCTAGCAATGCAGTGATTGTCATATGTTTTTTTTGCAGATAATAGGTTGCAATCTAAGAAGGGACAAATAAGGCAGTGGAGTTGTAAAAGATGGAAAATAATTGATTCTATAGTTCCACCAAAAACTTTCACAGACTGATCTCTTTTGCAATTTTAGAAGGTTTTAAAGAAAAAGGGGGGACCTCCCATATGAACATAGACTCTTGAATCAACAAGTCACATCACTTGAAACAATTTTAAAATATGGGCATGATAGATATTGGTTGACTGAGTCCAAAGAGTAAATTCCTATCACATCAAGTGCTATTTGAAATTTGAGGGTTAACCTGACTATGAACATGATGAAATACAAATTTGTCTGCCTATATTTGTGCATTGCTGAATACATTGGAATCTAGGGATTTCGACCGGTTGTTTTTAAGAGATAAATGTTGCCTTTGACTTTTTTTGTTGTAAGGGCCACACAAAAGATTCTAATTTGGAAGTTTTCCACAAAACTTCCTACATGTCTTCATAATATTAGATAAAGGTGTTGCACCTAAAACTGTCACATGAAACTCATAAGATTATTGTTAAGTCACACAAACAAAATGAGCACTTAATTCTTCTCGAAATTTAATTTGTATAGTGCTTCATCATTTGACACTTCCAATCAAACTTCAAATAAATCCAATTGTTGTCATTGACATTTGAGAGAGTTGAGGAACCTAGTAATATATGGGGGACCTCATCATAGTTAATGGAGAATTTTATCCATATAGAAGAGTTCTGATATGTTATCGAACTTTGAATGAGTTTCTTTGGTACCTTCCTAAATTTCATTAGCCAAAGTAAAAATTCCTCCCGATTTTCAACAGTCACATAGTTGATAAACTATGACATCACCATATTTTTTAATTCCTAGACTTTATAAGCATGGTCACCTATTTTTGTTGTAGGCATTGATGTCATCATGTAATCCTCTGTCTCAATCCCATATAAACATCATCACGAGTTGATAAAAATTCCTAGACTTTATATGACCATCAAAATCTGAATGAATTTCTTTGGTAGCTTCCTAAATTTCATTAGCTAGAGTAAAAACTCTTCCCCATTTTCAACAGTCACATAGTTGATAAACTATGACAGCACCATATTTTCTAATTCCAAGACTTTATAAGCATGGTCCCCTATTTTTGCTGAAGGCGCTGATGTCAACATGTAATCATCTTTGTCTCAATCACATATAAACATCATCATGAGCTATGACGATCGAAGAAAGTTGTTGCCATTAAGCCTAGGATATGTGATTGAAATAAGATTGTTTGCAACCCATTTGGTTGGCTGAAATATGATCACCTCAAGGTCAAATTTGACTTCAAATATGGAGGATTGCCTCAAGGGGCATTATGCATTTTTCATATGTATGGCTAGAATATAAGATAGAGTAACTTGAACTCTGATACTAAAAAGAAATCAAGAAGCATAGAGGAGAGCAAAAAACAATTCTATTTATTCTTTAATTCTTGAACAAATTGGTACACATAGATCAAGAAATTATATATACAAGCACTACAGCTAAATGCTCAATCAGTTGTGATTATCAAGAAAATTAAGTGTAAAAAGAAAATAATTTGAAGTATGCAAAAATATATATGTTGCAATGCACCATCCATGGATTCTCGTTAGACCTCTCCAGATCTTGATGAAGTTGACCATCCCTTAAGAATAGAATGTATTCCTTTTTTAACCACTGCAATAGGGGTAGAGCTTAGTAGTTGTTCAAAATGACTTGAAAATGATATATTTAGCACTTCAGACAATATTTAAAAAAAAAATGAATGGAAAATAATGATTCATAATAGCGACCCAGGATAAGGTCAATTATAATGATGTCACAATTGCAAATAAGAAATATATATATATATATATATATATATCCACAAATCTACAACAACTTGTCCGATGATGAGAAGTAAGATAACATCATCATATATGACTTTGAACATGGAATCAAGACCTTAATAGCTTATAAATAACATCTACAAAAAAGAATGTTCATGATGAATGAAAAAATATCAAAGTTGAATTATTCATAATTACCACACCCATAAATAGAAAAGCAATATAATATTCTGACAAAACAATAATAAACCATAAAATTAAATTCCCACCAACCCTCACAAGCACTGAAATAACCCAAAAACTCTTAAACACTTAGCATTAAGGAAAATAAAAACCCATATCTAGCAAAAATCATACCTTGAGTGCTAATCCAACCTCCTCTTGCCTCTCAAGCTCATTGAGCACTGTGATCTTCTCTAGCTTCAGCAACCGCAAGACATGGAACTTGATAAACTTAGCCAAATTATCATCATTATCCTTGAACCTCTTCATTCCTTGTATCACAAAGAGTGCCTCCTTCCCGAGTAGCTTCTTCCCCCTCCATAGTGGACCCCTCGGCCTCCCATCATGGTAGAGTCGTCGCCGTTGTTCTAGATCCATGATTGGCACTTTTAAAACAGGTTCTCCATATAACCTTCCACATCTAAATGTGGTAGAAACTTGAGGAAGATGTTTTGTAAGGATTCCAAAAAAGGAAGCAGAGAAATTGGGGTTTTTGGCTCGAAAGAGGGCTCGTAACATCATTGACGGAATTTTCTCTACTTCTCAAATCCTAAAACCTTAATCAAATGAAAATCCATTGCTGATCAATTTATAAAGTTCAAAATTAGAATTAAGAAAAAAAAGGTATGCAATTCTAATTCAATTGGATATTCAAAAAAAAAAAAAAGATAAAATGGATAAAATGATTGATAAATGCATGCTAATAAAGTATAACTGTAATTTGCAGATATATTCCACAAAAATTTGCATTCAATGCCCAAATCCTAATCTGTATGAAATCAACATACAATAATTAAATCAGCAAAACGTAAATTCTAACCAATGTCAACATAATAAGCAATTTTAACTAAATGAAATCACAAATTCCATCAGTTGAAAGGAGAAGGAAAAATAAGTCGACTGAGGCGTCATCAGTGCTATCACCCGGCAATGGCAATGGTAGGTGAGATGCCTCGCTAAAGACGATATCAAGAGGATGGATGCAACTAAGAGGAGGGCCAGAACAAAGGTAGAGAAATTTTGCTATCAATACTGGCAAAATATATCAATACTGGCTAAAGACGATATCAAGGCATAGGAACAATGGCTAAAAAGCAGAGAACTTGCTGATTCAGAAAAAAAGAGGAAAATGAAAAGAATAATAGAGTTGGATACGCATTATCAATAACAGAGTGCACGGATGAGAAAGAAAACCGCAGAAAGCATAAGAACAGGCGGAAGTATTGCGGCTTCACTTCACCTCTTTAGAAAAGCGTCACCTCACTCACTCGAAAAACCCTATGAACCACTCGTTTGTCGGGCCATGCACAAGTCATGGATCTGCCAGAGTTTTTATAAGGGCAATACACAGTGTCAAATCTCGTATAAAATCAAAGCAGCTCAAATGCAGTGGTTAAAAGAGAGAATTCCTAAAGTTTTCAGCCTTGCGAGTTGTCAAGTGATTAGGGCATGGATTCAGAGGAAAAAAATGGTGGCACATTGCTCCACCTGTCGCTGGAGGAAAAGGGAAAATAGAGAAGAGGATGAAAGCTCACCTAAAATAGTTGGACGCTAAAATGCTGACGATCGTCATCGGAGCACCGCAACAGATGCGCAAGTCCGCTCACGTCGCTAGGGCAGGACTTAGGCAATCGAAAAAACACGAGGCTGCACCCGTTAGGGCGGACAAGATGGAGTGAGCATCGAATGATTGCATATTTAAATTGGTTGCAACAAAAATCTGGAATTTAGAAGGGCTTTTTTAAGATATCACGGCTCCAAAGTATCAATGATTAACTACCATGATCACGAAGCAGTGAATTTATGTTTTGGTGATTCTGTGACACCTCCATCTCATCGTCTAGGGTAGGAAGAGTTAAATGAAAAAAGACAACCTAACTCAACTTAACTCCATATTCCGTGTCTGGTGCCGGTGCCGAGCAACCTCCCTCTTCCGTGCCTGGTGCCGAGATCTCGGCCAAGCAAACTCCCTCGTTCGCCTCAAGCTGCGAACTCTATACGCCCGGTGTCAAGTCGAGCTACCTCCCTCTTCAGCCTGGGGGATTATTGCGTGCGGACACCGCCAAGTCGTGATCTCCCTACGCTTGTTGCCGTGATCTCCTCATTTAGAGCCCGTTTGGGGGCCGTTTGGGGGCAGCTTAACCGGTGAGAGGCTTGTTTTGAAAATACTCACTGAACCGTTTGGAAAAATCATTCCATAATATCATCTGAATAAGCTGTGATTTTTTTTATATTGAATCAGGCCGCGGTCAAACCCCACAGTCAGCATTTCATTTATCCTTTTTGGCATTGGCGTCTCGTCTACCCTAACTCCGGATCTCCCTCTTCTCTCTCTCTTGCCCGTCTCTCTAGATCATTTCTCTAGTGCACTTCTCTCCCTCTCCCCCGTCTCTCTCGGCGTTGTTGTACTACTCTTCCGCCTCCCTTCCGTCCCTTATTATTGTACTCTGTAAGCACGATGGATTGGTTTGAATTATGTGATATTCGACTCTCTGATTTGCAATTTGTTGATTAGAAATTTTTGCATGCAATTTCTTTCTAGGTTAGAGATTTTTGTATGTAATTTCATATATTTTTCCTTGCTTTGAGAATGAATTTGGCTTCCTGCAACAAAAGTATGAATTTAATGCTCACTTTTGTCCGTCTATTTGCTTCATTATTTCAACTGAAGAACAAGAGCATTATCAATTATATGATTCTGTGGGATTATATGTTTGACAATCAAGCCAATGGTCAGTGGTCCTGTTATGGGCTCCTATGGTTGTGTCGTTCACGATTTTCTCTGATCTACGATTTGTGGCTTTCTCGGGTGCTCTGCTTGAAAAAAAAATAATGAACTAGGTTGATTGATTTGTACACGACATTGTTCTCTAGCTGCTCACGTATGTAAAAAAATTTATATAGGTAAATTTACAAGAATACATTTTAATATGGGATGCAGTTTTTGGTAATTGCTATGAAACACATGAATGGGTGGAAGTTTGATTTGTTGAGTATGAGAATTTGAAAATTGGATGAAAAGGGGTTGCTTCAGTTAAAATTATCTAAGTTAAAACTGAATTACACTTGACATACACCATCTCGCTTTTAAAATTATTATTATCATATATTTAATTGTAATTTTAATAGTTTTTTTCTTTTTTTAGTAAACTTGATACTCACTGTTATGTGCGGTGTGTATTTTATTTTTTTTACTATTCTGAAGTGGTTTTTTGTTTCTTAAGTATTAAATAATGTTGTTATGTCAATTATGTTGTAAACAACATTACTTCACATGGGCAGAATGATCATTTATCTAGAAACAGCTGCAATATAGTTGTTTTCCAACAACACAAATCAAACAGTCAACCAACTTATCTGGATCAGCTGCTGATCAACAACTAATATGAATCATCTAATTATCAGTAGCTTATTAATAAGTTGCAGTTAGCCCAAATAGACCCTTGAACGACTTCTCAAGCTATCATGAATTTTTCTTAGCTATAACTTCACTATCTGTTTTGACTTGCATTAACATTGGTTATTGGTTGGGCTTCTATAGTTATCGTGAATGATGTTGCTTATTTTATTTTTGGAAAAATCAATTGTTTCTGTGTTTACATCTTTACACAAAAGATATCATAATAATGCTATCAATAAAAGTTCCTTCTTCTTCACATGTTATTTGTAAGCAAGATAAAAAAGAATAACACCTATAAATTTTCTTTATAGAATGAATGCACATTAATTATGATGGAAAAAAAATCTAAGCATTTTGTGATTTCTCTAAAGTGAAAAACAAATTTCTCTTAAGCTATAGTATATGAATATATTGTTTATGCGTCAACAACTTATGTTATTTTATTTATCTTATTTATTGTCATTGTAATGCAAAAGATGAATTTAGCCCAATCTTCAAGCTCAAAAGGCATTATATTAATGATTTTTTGTGACTCCAACTTACAATGTGTGATTATTGACCTCATTTTGAGGTCCTCCTTAGTCTTTCTTCCATAGCATACGATCTAGCTTTAGGACTTTCCTTTTGACCATCTTAGAAACCTAGTGATGAGACCCACCCCTCTTATAAATTCAATCACCTCTTGACTCTTATTGGTGGTCTCACATTTATAGTTTTGGACCACCAGCACTTGGACAGTTCAGACCAACATGATGAGACCCAAAGAGGACCTTTAAGCTCTAAAATGACCATGTGCACACCTTATTCGCATCACCTACACTTGCATACACTTCAATGATAATTTAAACATAAGTTAATTTTAAAATGATCAACCATGAACTAAAATTCAAAGAAAATTAAATTTGATGCTTTATTTGACCTAATCGTCAATGAGCTTGTCCAAACGACCCCGGATGACAAACAAACAATGCGAGTGCATCCGAGACATTGATTTTACCTAGGAGGAATGATCATTTTGATATAGTTTCGTGCACGAACAAATAGTGCGCGAATCAGGGCATTTTAAATATTAAATATTACAAAATTAATAATAAAAAACCACATTCTATTTCTTTCCTAAATCCTTAACTCACAAAACCTAACCCCTACGAACCAGACTTTTCTCCCGCATGTGACCTCCCCTCTCCCATTTCTTGAAACCCACGATCCTTCTAGCCCAAAACTGTTCCCTCCTTCCTCCCATTCGACCGATCCCACTCTCTTGAGCCTTAACCAGCCAAAACGCTTCCCATTCACAAATCTTTGACCAAACAACTCTTCATCTTCTTTGCAAAGCCCCAACCGGTTGACCCTGTCCCTTGCCAACGAAATATTACATTAGGACTCCGCATGTAGAGTTACGTGCGGAGTCACACTACAGGTGAATACTCCTGGTAACATAGGTAACATAGGGGAACATTCCCCTATGTTATTCAGGTGTTATTGTATGTTATTCATGTATTATTATGTTCTGAAAATTTTTCGGGTACTATGATAACGCAATAACACATCAATAATGCTTGAATAACACAAAATAACACCTGAATAACACAAGAAGAATATTCTCCTATGTTATCGGGCCGATTTTTTTTTCCTCGCCTTCACGTGTGTAGCGTGATTTCATTGGACTCTGCACGTAACTCTACATGAGGAGTCCTGATGTAATATTTTTTCCTTGCCAACACTTCTCGAGCCGAAATTCCTTTCCGATGTTTTGTCTGTTCAAATCCCCTACTTCTTTTTGAGGCAATAAGCTCTCTTCCTGGCTAAAAAAAATCCCCTTGGGGAGATTTTAGGTTGTTGTGTTTTTTTTTGGTTGGTTGTGGCTACTGATGCATCTTTAGAAGTCATTGGAACTTCACTGGTTTGAGCACTTGTGCCTATGTTCTTGGAGCTCCTTTGGTGTAGAGATTCTTGAATTTAAACCTCTTGCTCTCCAGGAGGAAATCTTTTTTAGTTGTTATGATTTTTTAGCCTGTGAATACTTTCTCATCTGATTTTTTTTTATTTGAGTTTTTTAGGATAAACATAAACCTTTATCCCCTTAATCGATATTCACAAAGGGAATGTTAGCTATCTGCATTTAACATGTGTGATAAAGCTTGGCTCACAGTTCAAATGGGATGCATGAAGCCCAAAAATCTGAAATCTTCTGCTAAAATAGAGAAGAAAAATCTTAAATTTCATTTTTTTAAATTATTGGTTTGAAAGGTCTGTAATAAGATCATTTCTGTGGATAAGAAGGTGAGAACCCCCACATTTGACAAGTTTACAAGTCCTTATAATTTGCCCTTCTGCTTGGATGTTTTTGTAACAAAAGGGTTCTGCATGTGCTTTTATGATTAATTGGGTTACAAGTAAAACTGTAGAAATGACCTCTTTAATCATCTTCATTACTTCTAAGCACTAGCTATTTTGACATTCCTATTTCAAAATAAACGGGTAGAGCCCATCCTTTTCTACAAAAAGATTTGGTGCCTCTTTTAAGTGTGCTTGGATTAAGAAAAGAGAAAGATTTATATGCATATTAACAATCCTCATGTGTTTACATATACAACACCAAAGCTTAAACATTTATATAAATACCATTTAACCTATAGACATTTGTACGTCCAATGTCTGAAATGCAATGTCATTTTTTGAAAAAGTTTGAGAGCTATTTTTTCTCTCTATTTTGTTGATTTAAATAAAATGGTTTAAAGGCTGTTTTGCTCTATATTTTTGTTGATTCGAAAAAATTTTGAGAGCTTTTTAGCTCTATGTCTTGGTTGATTTGAATGAGAGTTTAAAGCTACTTTTGCCTTTTTTTTGGTTGATTTGGAGGGGAATTGAGGGCGATATTTGTTCTCTCTTTTTGTTGATTTAAGAGAAAGTTTAAAAGTTGCTTTTGGCTCAATGTATTTACTGTTTTGGTAGAAGATTCAATTGCTTTTTGGCCTGATTGCTTATTGTTCTGGAAGAAGTTTAGATGCTTTTTTTTTGGCTAATTATTTATTAATTTGAAGGAGCTAAATGTTCACTTTTTTTTTTGAAGAAGGCCTGAACATTTGCATACATATCACACAATTCATATGCATTTACATATCCAACACCCAAATTTTGTGATTTACATATCCAACACGCAAAATTCGTGATTTACATATATACCACCCAATCTTTATATGCTTGCATATCTAATGCTTAAAACTCAATTTTTACATATGTACCACCTTACTTATGTAGGATAAGGTGTAAGTGAAAGTAATCATGTGTTTATGTGATATGAAAGGTTCAGACAGTATAAATGTGAAAAAATTAGAATTTAAATGATATATATGTAAATGCATAGGAATTGGGTGTCATGTGTGAGTTTTGCACAACAAAAAAAGAAGGGGGGAAACTTAGATGTCAGACGTGTGAATATATAGGAATTGGGTAATATGTGAGTAATTCCCTTAGTCTCTCCATGCCTTTACCCTCTAAATTTAAAAGCTGTCTTGCCTTATGTTTCTTTGATTTTGAAAGAGATTTGAAAACTATCTTTTGACTCCCTATTTATGATCATTTGGAAAGAGGTTTAAATGTCCTCTAGCCTCCAATGTGTGCTACTTTC